TTTTTGATACAGAAAATGTACAGAACCAATACACGGTCACCGTTACTTGTAACACCATACTTCACAATCTTAACATCTATTGTTGCTTCATAACCGTTGATTGTTTTTAAATGATATAGGTTTCTTTGTCAGGAGTCCTACTCGATTTGCTGTAAGCAAATCGAGCAGGACTGCTCCAACCCCCGTTCTTGCAATGCCCAATTTATAATCATTTATTTCCATAAGTATGAAATATATTTACATGTATGTAAAGACAGAGTTAATATGCAAGTAAAATTTGACATGTCGACATGTGTTCATGTCTCAATGCTATCTGTTTAAATATTTATTTTAAATAAAGAACCTGATATTAAGAGAATTTTTTTATGATCTAATACGATATCATCTCTTTCGAGTTCCCACTTAGAACCCAAAATGTTTAGCGGTCTAATCCTAACTTAGGCAAACTAGTGCAGAAAAATTCTAAATTACTAAATGCATGCTTATTAAATATAAATTAAATCCAAATACAGAATCAAAAACACCTCTATAAAAACAGATCCGTCAAAATAATACACAGCCAAACTCGTCAAAGATTGACTTTGTCTGAACCTATACACTTTCTTAAAGGATCGTCATGAAATTTTGCATAATGAGGGAGTAAAGCAGTACTCTACCGGAATTCTAAATTGATTAACAAAATTAACGTTAACACTAGCGTTGCGAGACTAAAGTTTCGCACAAATTAGTATGTTAGTAATATAACTGTGAGAAAGTTATATATCTTCTAAAAGCATTGTCGAGCAAGCACATGTGGAAACTAGATACTCCAACAAAACACTTGGTAAAATTGACTATTCCAAAAAAGAGAATCACGAAATCAAACATTAAAATGTTCATGCAAACAAATGTTTGACTTGAGCGGGAATCGAACCCGCGACCTTTGGCGATTTGGCGAATAGTTACACAAACTACTAGGCCATCCGGTCGTCACTAAATTCTAGTCGACATCAAATTTTATTCGTACTTAATTTAAAAAAAAATCGTGCGTCTTGAAATCATCCCAGAAATTATGCAATATGTAGGTGCTTAAAAACAGGTGCTGTCGCAGCCGAAGACATCGATCGACGGAGAAACGAACCGCTGTATACCCGGTTACAATCATTGTAGATTACTTTTTCTTAGTAATGCCATACAGTTACGTGTATTTTAAAAAACAGACAAAGGTGAACCTAGTCAAAAAACTTTTGATTGACGTGAGGACTTCATTAAAACCTAAATTAGAAAGTCATTTCAACTCAGTCTACTGTCTAACTCAGTTCTTACACAGTCTAAAAAATCGCAGCAAAGTTCAAGACGAACTTGTTAATGAATTGTTCAATCAAAGAGAACTAGACAGACTTAGATTTTAGTGATATTTATAAAAAGGTCTAGATAGAGTAGAGATATCCGTGTAGTGACGGATTAAGAATAGGTAGTCATCACCCCTATTCATCCCGTGGGTGACGTAAGAGCCGACTAAAGAAGCAAACTACGCAGGACAACTACCAAGAGAAGGAAAACTTGACACAAACCCTATACCAACCCGTCTAGCCAGCTTGGTATAGAGAGGCCCATGTCCAACAGTGGAGTATTAAAGGCTATTGATGTGATGATGTGTTAAAAATGTTTTGCAATGAGTCCTACAGTAGGAAAAACAAACAATCAGATGTGGTCGACTTAATCTAGTCCATTTTAAACCAATAAAAACACAGGTTTTTGCATGTTCACCGCAGAAAAGATACCGTTTGTCGTATCACCTCGGTTTGAGAGCACCCCCTAACTGCCTCAGGCAGTTCGGGATCCTGGGCATCGACATATCGAGAGAAGTTCAGTTTCGGGGTCACTCAGAGGGTGACCTCAAATTAGCCTTGAAGAACACATCGCAGTATTTTAATTCAGCCCATCGCCTTCAACTCTATAAGGCAAAAGTCCGGCCGCATATGGAATACTGTTCTCATCCGGGGCAGGGGCACCCCAGTACCAGCTTTTCCCTTTGAAACACATCCAACGAAGAGTGACTTCAATTGTCGATAGCCAAAAAATCTATCAATTCGCACGATCCCTTGGCGTTAATAAAGATGTAGCTTCCACTCTGCATTCTCTATCGTATATATCATGGATAGTGTTTCGAGGAATTGTTCGGACTAATACCGGCCGCAACTTTCCGCCATCGTTCCACAGGGCAAAATTTTCATGCCCATCAATTGGATAATTGGTACTCCACCACTGTGCTCTTTTGAGACTCTTTTTGCAACGTACAACCAATCTGTAGAACATGTTATTGTCTGCGGTATTTTCGGACCGATACAACCTTCAAACCTTCAAGAAAAGAGCATACTCCTTTCTAAACACTGAGTTGCAGGCGTTCATGGGCTGCGGTAATCACTTTCGATCAGGTGACCCGTCCGCTTGTTTGCGCCCTCTTCCATTAAAAAAAAAAAAACCCTACTAATATTACAAATGCGAAAGTAACTCTGTTACGCTACGGCTAAACCGATTTTAATTAAATTTTTCATAAGGTTACGTTACTTTACCGCGATAACCGACATAGCGGGAGGAGGCGCGGCAAAAGCTAGTGTATTAATAAGGTAGCAAATGAAGATAAGAGCAATTTTGTTGTTTGTCAATTAACTATTTAAAAGTTACTCTTTCTTAAACTTTGAATGTTGCTTCTTTACAAAAGTACCTACTTAATAGTAGAAATCTACCTAGAACACTTGCTTTTGGTACTTAAATGATGTTGTGATTGTGCCCACGTGGTAATATGTTAGAGAGAATTGTCATTCAAAGTAATCGCAACATCCAACATTGGCACTTTAACGTTAATTTGTGAGAATATAATCTTTCTTCCACCCGATCTGAATATCTCAAGCTACACCGATTAAGATAGTGTATATCTTAATCGGTTTACCATCCTACATGAAATGACTTCCTTTATGCTTACATTTTCATCACGTAGCATCTTGAATACAAAAACTTTTGTAGTGCTGGAATTTTGTCACGGGCTCTTACTTATTAGGGATACTTATTTTTAGGGAATATTGTAATAATGTAAGGAAATCTATTAATATTTTTTTTTCTAATATTATAAGGATATTTATCTAAGGATTAAATATCCTTATAATTTTAGAAAAATCAAAAGACTACATTAGGATGGAGGCCGTTATAGACTATGTGGGTCGCGACAATTCGTTAAATGAAACCACATAACACGAACTGCTGCGAAATACCTAATATGATTTCTAAACTCATTGAAGATAGATCAGAAATAAAATCCATAACCACCCGGGAAAAAGGGCGGCTTCATCGGCATTACACGCGGTGCTCAAACAGCTAGCGGAGTCCTGCATATGTGTCCACAAGACTCTACATCTTCGATGCAGTCTCTGAATCCGCTATCTAAGTTAGCACATCGTTTTTCGATCATATGGATTCTTGATGAGATTTTCTGAGAGAATGGACGAACCGAATACATACATATGTCTAAGAAAGGCTATGACAAATGCCAGAATTTGTGTAGGCTATAAGATTTCCTGTGAAAGTAATAATTACTACTTTTTGCAATAGATAATAGAGAGAGAGAGAGAGAGAGAATAGATTGCAATAGAATATAATATAATTTCTTTGATTTTAATAATCTTCGTTCCGATATGATTTAGAGAAATGTATGCACTTTATTCTGTTCTTACATAATATCCAAGTTTCATTACAGCCCTCTCAACCTTAAAACGACGCCAACTTTACCCAAACCCCTTTGACTCCTTTTCTTTTGATAAAAATAAAGGCAGTACGTTATTTAAAATTCATTACTTAATTTTGGTTGTTAATTTCTTGGCCATAAAAATGGAAACAGGAAACTGATTTTAGACACCCATTGAACGGCCAAAATCAAATCACGAAAAGGCTGAAAAGTCGAAAGTTTGCTCAATATAATTCCTGACGACGATAACAACGCTCCGGAGGCCAGAGAATACATATGACGTAATAAGTTCCCTCTCTCAACTTTCGTCCCCTTGGCAGAAAAACTAGCTCCAGAAGATGAACTTCCCTCCCGAACCTGTAAGATACTCAATAGGTTGCGTATGCAGGTTGGAAGATCCAAGGATAATATGTCAAGGTGGGGATTTATCGACCCAAACCCAAATAAATACGACTGTGGTATGTCTCCACAGACAATTGGCCATTTGCTAACATGCCTTAACGACCTGGGTGAAGCAAGGCAACGATTTTGGCCAAGTACTGGGTCAAAACCTTTGTCCAACGATTTTGGCCAGCACAGGGCCAAAATCGTTGGACAAAGGATGGTTTTTATCCCAGAAATCATCCTTTAAGGGGGGTGAAAAGGAGGGTGGAAATTTGTATGGGGGAATCGATAACCACTAAACCGATTTAAATCAAATTTGGTTTGAAGAAACTTTGATTCTTGAGGAAAGACATAGGCTACTTTTTACCGCAATAACCGACATTTACGCGGGCGGAGCCGCGGCCAAAAGCTGGTAATTAATATTTATCCAAAGCTCATGTTATTTATACATAACTAGCTGGTACCCGCGACTTCGTTAGCGTGGAATTTAAAAAGCGCTGCTTTAGTGGTTTAGAACGGTACGCGACTGCAGTCCCTGAGGCCTTGGGTTCGATTCCCGGACCAGGCAACATTTTATAGGGTTTTTCTGAGAGGAAAAATTGCCGAGTTACCCTTTATATAAACAGTTACCTGGTAGTATAATATCATCAAAATCGGTCCAGCCGTTTTGAAGGTTACAAAGAACAAACAGACAGACCAACAAAAAATATTTAAACTGGGTTTTAGGCATAGGTATCTTGTGAGCAACGGAAAACCTATATATGTCAAGGTCACGTTCAAAATGGTATAATACATTAATAAACTCTGCATAGGTTATGAATATTCTACTTACACTAGTACATAGTAAAACAAAATTATGTAAAAATATAATAATTTTACTGGAAATAAATCTATGTTAACATACTAATCTATAGGAAATGTATCGTCCGGCAGTTTCTGATGATCGAATAATTTTCACCACCTGGAAAAAAATATCCATTTAACAAACTTATCTAATATACTTTTTGAACAGTTATATGCGTGCTTATAAAACTATTTATTTAGTTTTATATGCATACAAAGATTACATGAATTACACTCAACCAATACCTCACTATTTTTGTACACATCTTAAGGTATAAAAAATAGTAATTCGATTTCAGATAAGTGTAAGTACATTATCTCTATATATACTATACATATATATGTATCTAAACAGCATGCAAAATTTGTAACTCTATTGTAACAAAGTATAAACATGAGCCACATGATCAATGTATTGATTTACATACAACCACAACTTTACTACACACATAAATTACACAGAACAAATCAGGATACCTCATAAGAGACATTTTCCAAAATGATATTTAGGCTACGAAATCAAAACATTCCACATTTAATCTTATCATTATCATCAACAGCATGTGCCACTCCACAGGCTTGACATAGGCCTCTCCTTAGAAAGTAGGTTTTGGCCTGGCCTTCTCTTTGCAGTGCTGCTTTTCTGCGTAGTTTACTCTCTTAGTTGGATTAATAGAAGAGGTGACACTCCATACTCCTAATCCATCACCACACACATTCTAAAATCACAGTGAACTGTGAACGAATGGTGATTTATTATTGCATTTTTTCGTACGTACTAACCTGTCCTCTCTTCAGGCCAAAATATCTTGCTACTGGATCACCAGCTTGTATCCTCATCAACATGTTCTCCTTCAATTTACTGTTTATGCTGGTTAAGGAAATACAATCACGCACAAAAACAAAGCAGTTAAGATTTAATATAATAATAATAATATAATAATAAAACAATTATAATATACTAGATACTTAGAATAGATAATCTAGACTAGAATAAACCATAATGATTATAAGAGTTGATTATCATTAAATGGCTGAGCAGATTTTCTTAGTAAATTGTTAATAAAACATTATATGTCTAAATCTATGTTGTTTTATGTTTACTTTGCCAAAAATATCGTGATTTAATATTTGAAAGATATCAGTAGGATCTCAGAGAATGACTCTCCCAGTAATTGGGCTTTAAAATGAACTCGACCAAAGTCAAAGATGAATTTAGAGTCAAACACCATTATGGTTAAAAACTTACCAAAACTATGGAAGCTAACTTAGATTACACTACTACTGCATGCAGTCTCTTTCAACTAGTCTTCCTGAAAAACTTGCCTCCTTCATGAGAATAGAACATACTATGCCTAACATGATAATAACATAACATCATAATAATATCACACATCTCTCACACACGGCTGTCTAATTTCAAACTAGGCCTAACCTGCCAAGCCTAGAAGCATGTCCTATGGTAACCAGACTGCTGATAAATATACTTAAATATTACTAAATACATACATATTATTTTAGATTAATTACACCAAGAACAAATGATCATGCTCATCACACTATTATTTGGGAAACGAAGCCACAACCTCTGATTTAGCAGGCAGGGTCACTAACCACTTGGCAATAGGCCTGTCAAATGATGATGATACAAAACAAAACTTTATTGTTATTTTGTTTGCAAAATATATTTTTTATGATATTTTGCATAACCAGGCCTTTACCAAGCAGTGGGTGCAACAGGCTGCTTAAATAGATTTGCATAACATAATAAAAAAACTTTTGAAAAGGATACTATCTCGTCAAGAGTTCGGATTTTTCATCTGGGGTCAGCACAATGTGCTCTGGCACCAATTCATGTTCTGTTATGTTGATTAGTAATTCGGATTCCAAGAATTGTTCTAGAATATACTTAGGAGCCATGTCCACAAGTGATTGTTTTGCAGATGGTGTCATACCTGGAAAATAAGAAGAGACAATATCTTATAGTGTAGGCATGCGTCAATTGCACATTTTACTATAATTTGCTAAAAAATAATGATAAGTAACCAATAAAAGCAAACTACAGCAGGGCTTCACTAACTTAGTCATTTTTTGAAGAGTTGTGAGACGATCTACATACATAGATTTGCTGTGTTGTGTGACAGTCAAGAAACTTGTCTCTTTCCCTGGTTTAAAAGTCAATCTACAAGAAAAATCATTTCCTAGGTGGGAATCAAACCCATGACCTCTGGCTTCGCAGCCAGGGTCAACAACCATTAGACTAACAGTCCAGTTGGCTTAGGCTAAAACTACACCTTTTTGGCAAGAGGGGACAGGAGTATCTGTGAAAATAAGTTTGGGAAGCCCTGAATATCTATGGACTATTTCTATATAAATCTACAACTATAGATAGACAGTATATAAGTATATTATTCTTGCTAGCAAAAACATTATTTTGATTTTTGATCCAAACACCATATAAATTATGTCATATATATATATATTATTGTATATTAAAAACACACCTGCTTGTACCACAACAATAGCTCTATGAATATTTTCTTCTTGCATCCTAGTACAGTATGTTTTAATTGTTTTAATGCCTATTTTAGGTTCATCTGGGAAAAATACAAACATCTGGTCTGTTGGGTCATCATTGTGAGCAACAAGGACAATTAAGTCACTTCTTGCCGGCCTTTTCTCACTGTAGAGAGTTAAAGAAGTAAATTAACAACACATTTATATCTTAAAGTTAAATCTATTTTACAAATATGACAAGTCAAAAATATTCTTTTTTTTTCTATGAAAAGATATCTCCTGCACTATGAATTTATCCTGTGTTGTGGTGGGACTTTACATACATACATGAAACTGACATCGATTTTAACTACACCCATATAAATATAAGATGTGTTTATTAAAGATAGCCTGTCCATATATAGAAATAATCAAATTCATTTAAAACTAAGTTTAATAGCATTCTGACAGAGAGGAAGGGCATACCACAAGAGGACATACTGAATGAAGAACTGACAAACTCAGTAGCATGAGATGGCTATTACTTGATGAACAAAGTTTCCAGAATGGTTATTCTATGAACGTTAGAATTGTGATGTAAAATAAATAGGGCAAGTAATTTAGGATGTAGTTAAGATTATAAAAGTATAGAAAATTATAGCTGAAATTAAAAAAAAACTGAGGTTGATTAATGATTATTTCACCTAATATTTAACATGTCATTGTATTATCTATTATAATAATGACTGCTAACAAAACTGAGGACTGAAGTGAGGAATCTGAAATGAGTATAATCTTTCATATTTTTATTACTCTAACTTTTAAGTTGCTACATTTTGATGTGGTATGTAAAAAGGTTTGTAATAACTCAATAACATCTGGCCATAAAAAGTAAAAAAGAAAAAGACCATAACTAAAGAGACTATGATTAATACATTTTTATCTATCTAATTCACATCTCTATTAAAAATGAGTTGTCTGGCAGTAAGAAAATAAAATTATAATAAAATAATATGGAAATGTTAGATAAGAAAATTAAGAATGCATTGGTAAACAAAACTGTGTCTGAGACTACTAAGCTGCATGTTGGTAAGGTCATTTTAATAAATACCTAGGTTTATCTCCGAACTGTTCTTTAAACTGGTCTAACGTCTGATCCAATTCATCTTGTGTTACTAAATAACCGCGATCATGACAAAGCTGAAACATACACGTAAAAATTATGATAACTTCCTGCACTGAATGTGGTTCAATAGAACTTATCGGGAAAACTCACGTGCTCATTTTACAATGTTTATTTACCAATAATTTATCAACTTTTTTAAAAGCTTGTACTCGAAACATAACCTTACTTACTTGCATTACTGTTTTGCGAATTCGCCACAGCTTGTAAGTTTCTGCATCATCATCCATATTAAATTTAAAACCTCTTAACCGTTACTTAATTGCTAAGAAAGTGTAGGTAACACTAATAAAACTTAAAACAACTGTTGTTGACTGAACATCGAAACACCAACGTGAAATAAAGCAACACCAACACATCTGTCACAACTTATTGGAATTTGTATATACATAATAGGGATGGCGATCTGAGATCAATCAATCGATTTCTCGGTCCAAAAAAATCGATCTTTTTTGTTACTATATTTAATACTTCCTGCATATACATTGCATAGGGCGGACTTAATGCCATAGGCATTTTCTTCGATGGGTGATGCAGAGCTATGTGTGGCAGGTGTATCCACTGGTAATGTACATCCACTGGTAATTCTTTCACTAGCTTCGATTAGCTAGTAAAAGAAATACCAGTAAGAATTAAAGTTGAATCGGCTGGTGGACATCCTGACTTGAAGGATAGAGAAGAAGATTATGAGAAGAGCGGAGAATCCTGTCATGGTTAGAGGAGAGATATTGGAAGTGAGATGTTAATTTTTTTTAGGCGATAGAGGCCCCGCAAAATGATCGTGACCTTCTCACTGAAACTAGATACTTGATGTTGCTAACTCAGAGTTGAGTCTATATGCAGGACAAGATCCTTAACCGATGGACTAATGGGCAACACTGTACCAATGAAAAATATATAAATGATACCATCAATATCAATTCTTCTCTTCATTCTAGGACTCCCTATGATGATCGTTTGGCATTTAGACGAGTTTACGGTTAAACCGAACCTGCTGATTCAGTTTTTTGTAGTGTCTAGATCACGGTTAATGCTAACTATAGCTTCAGCCAAAAATTATATTCTTGCATGGGTCTGCAGGTCGTCTGCATACAGGTGATACGAACACTTAAGTTCATGAGTTATGAAATTGGTAAATAGTGAAAAGAGAAGAGGATAAAGAATGCCGCCTTGTGGAACGCCGGAGTCAAGTTCAGCCCATGTCGATGCAGATTCATCGATTCGACAGACTGCTGGCGTCCACGAAGATATGATGAGAACCATTCCAGTGCATCGTCTGAAATCATGAAGTGGGTAAGGATCGTTAATAGCAAAAAAAAAGAAGCTTTGCTTGAACATAATTTTTGGTTTTGGCCTAGACGTCTTGATTTTTTACGTAATAAAAATCAGGTTGGGGCGTGAGAAACTTTTGCAAGAGACGAAGTAATGATAAGGTAAAACAGATTGTCTACTCCATTAGGGTTATGACAAGTGGCTTAAAGTGGGAAAAGCTTAGACTAGACGATTCAAATATATTCAGCAATTTCCGAGAAGTCTGCCATGATGATGTGATGGTCATACTTAGACCCTAAAGATTCTAAAACTGATTCCAATCCGGTGAAGCAGTCAGTGGCCGGAGGACAATAAACGACCCCCAGAGTGATTTTCGCTCCCATGACACAAACCTCGAGGAAAAGGGTTTCAGGATTCGAATCAGGTGGTGATTTAGCAAAAAGATTGTATGAAAAATCTGAACGCAAATAAATTGTGACCCCACCACCCCTTTTATCAATTCTATCATTCCGGATGAGAACGAAGCCTGGAAGAGTATAAGTAGTACAAAGAAGTTGAGGTTTGAGCCCTGTGTCAAAAATTAGGATAATTTTATATAATAGCAATGTAATAAATCGATTTTAAACTCGGTATTTTTCGGAAAGAATCGCCATCCCTAAAACATAATTTCTATCAGAGTTGCCTAACTTTTGCACTTCTTTTCTCCCACATAAATATTAAAAATCTCGTATTTTGGGTTTTTAAATGTTTTATAAACAAAAATAAGATATGTGAAGATATGTGAGTGTCAACTAAGCAGACATTTGTTAATTTGAAAAAACTTTATATGTTAATTACTACATCGATTGTGTGGAAGCTTTGCATGCATGTTGTCAAAAGTACAAGAAGGACACACAAGGACAGTTCAGACAGAAAGAGTTATCTGACCTCAGAAGATACAAAAATAAATTTAAAAAAAAATACCCTGCTAAGCTACGCTGTGGCATATTGTGGTTGCGTTAATGAGAAACGATATTTGAAGCTGGCATAATTAGACCTCAATCGGTGAAGAGTTTTTTGAAGCGCACATAAACCAACAACATTTTATGTACATAGATATTTTATTAATGAAGTCTCCTCCTCTTCTTTAAATAATTAAAGATATTTAGATTGTAAATCGAACGAATTGTAAATTGTCCATCGAACAGAAGATAAAATACTTTTTTAAAACAATTATACAAAAGCGCACAATGCATTGCCTTTCCATGATTAAAAAATGCATTCGATCGGCGACTGTTCTTAAATAATCAATGGAACAAATTGATAATTGTAGATGCGTATATTTATTTGTTGACACGACGACAAACTCGAATGAACCGTTTTAATATATGATGAATGAATGATCGTGTGTCTTTGCTATGTCGCAGGACCGACCACCCCCCCCCCCCCCCCCCACCCCAGCCTGTAAATTTGAGATACAAAAAAAATACCAATGAGATATAAAACAGCACCCTCTTAGTTTACGAGTAAAAAATAAATAAAGATACTACCTGCTACACCGTCTATATCACTTGAAATACTTCGAATTTCGTACTTTTTGCACAGTGGAAAAACTGCACCCTACTCGAAACTAACTGCACTATCATTAACTGCATTACCTGCATACTAACTGCATTATCTATATGCCTTTGCCACTTTAGTAATTAAAACATTCACGTGAACCTTTCGGAAAAAGATAACATTATACAATTCTGAATGTACAAATTGAATTTAATTACTACCTACTTGTTTGTAGCTTAATGATACACGCAAACAGTACATTACAAATTTTATAACAGTATTTGTATAATCAGTACATTTGTTTGCGAGTGTACCGGATCACCATAAACTAACATCACTAATTCACGCGAGCTATCGCTGTCGTACCGTACGCAGCAACCGATATCGCGCATCACCATAATCGACGGACTTTATTCGAATAAATTCCGCAATTGAATAGTTCGATTGTTTTTAGTAACAATCAACCAACGCTCTATCATATCGTTGTCTTCTGTGACATGTATTATAGGTATTCTGTGGTAGTACTCTGCGACTCTGTAATGTGTACTAGTGATGCGCAAAATGTATCACTGAACTGAAAAGATTGATACATATCATTTCGTTCTAAAGATATATATCACTCATCTAGCTCATTTAGCTCACTAACTCATTTAGCTTACTAGCTCATTGATCCGATTCAATTGATTGCTCTCTCAATTAATTCATTTCTTCATCGAGATCATTTAGCTCAGTATACTTGAATATCACTCACTTCAAGCCTCTATCGCCATACAAATTTTTCTTTATTTTCATATGATACTAAATTCAGTTTTTGAAACTACATTTTTAACCTATTTTTTTTTTTAAACAAAATTATTCATTTTGATAAGATAACATAATTATTAACAGCCTTTTATATAATAATTAAAAATAAGAAATTATTTCTTGTACTTTTTTTTAGGTTGTATAATAGAAATCATACATAATTTGGTTTTCCTTGTACTTGGCAGGCTTAATTCTTAAGTAATTTTAAACTTAGATCCTATAAAAATACACATACATACATTATTACATTACATACAATATTGTACATTTTGTACAAAGAAACTTGCGTGAACTCAACCATCATCATTCATTTATCACTCATTTATCTTTAGTCTCACTCGCTCATGAAACAAAGATCGGCGTCGTTGAGCTAGTGATCTAATGATCTAGTGAGCTAGTACTGAGTTACTGATATATTCGGAGCTAGTGTGAGTGAGTGATATATTTTATCGTCGTGAATGATATATATCTTTTATATCACTCACTCAGGAGCTACACACCTCTACTGTGTACTGTAATTTCAAGAATTCTTTGATGGCTGAGTAAAGTTTATCTTAATTCAGATTTTTGTTGATTGTAAGCTTTGATAACATTACAAATAACAAAAATGGCTGGCATTAAAGGTATACTTTATATTATTGTTCTTAATATTGGATATAAAATGATATTACTAAATCTTAAATTTCATATTTTCACTAAGAATGACTCATGTTATTTACAAAATATTTTTAAACCAAATTGTGTTATTAACATTAGTTTAGTTGTTTAACTATGTTTTTTTCTTTTCATGTACTTTTGATCGTTGTTATGGATCAGGGTAAGACAACTTTGAAATGTATTTAAGCACTGCCATAATTGTTAGGGCCTGTCTATTGTGAACATAAATAATGTTACATGATAAATATTGTGTAAAATGTATTACTTTTGACCTCAATTAAGATGCTAAACATATTGTATGCTTTAATTTTCCTAATATCGGCTATTTTTGATGGCGTACAAAATATGTACCTACTAGATTATTACGTTTATTTAAATAAACAAACTTTTTTCGATCTAATTTTTTCTCTGGATATATCAAATTGCCTGTCTGTGAACAAATAATTTCAGTATTGGGAGAGCTCTAATTTTTTAATAGCAATGAAATATTTCTATTTCAGTTTGGTGTCTTTGGCATTTGCTGGTTCTATTGGGATGACATTTGTTATTCTTGCATGTGCCTTACCTGATTATCAGTAAGTAACAATGTCTTATGACCAGTGTTAAAAGTAAGAGAAAAGTGTTATGTCATGTGAGAATGAGAACACAGTTTTTCACACACAACATTTATTACTGTTCATTACTAACTTGTAAGTCTAATAAGTAAGAAACATCCCTACAGCTTTATGGTGCTTATCTTAGTAGTATCTTTTCAAATCTTTTGTTAATTAAGAAAGCTGTAACAAATACATTTTACTTACAAGTTACCAGAACAATAACATTACATACATGTTTATGTAAATTACATTTAATAAAACCATTTCATAACAAAACATAGATTCTCTATACTTGTATTTTAAATTTGCAAATTGCAAGAGTTAATGTTTACTAAATCATAAAATTATTTAATAGATTGAATACTTTAAAATCTCAACCTTATCCTGTTTAAAGTTATTTGCAATTGCAAATTTGTTAACAGCACTTTCTAATTGTATTTTTTAAAAGCTAAAAGTCTGAATCTTACCTTCCAAGGATATATTATAAATATGGGACATATTCAAAGTGAATGGAAGATCTCTAATATTTTGACTAGAAGTTGCAAAGACAATAAAAAACCACAATATTTTTCTTAAGGTTTGATAACTACAATATGTTATTTGCCATAAATTTTAAATGCTAAAATTATTAGGAATTTAACATATTTTGAAGAAGACCTTATATTTCATGTGTATATGAAATGGCTTTTGTATTTTGATAAGAGGCCATTAATTTTAATGTTTTAACCAGGCGAGTAATATGACTTTGAATGATGATGTTTACTAATTCGAGATATTAAATTATTGGTATTTATAAATATATGACCTAGTGTTAACTAGTGATGTGCCGGATATCCGTATCCGTATCCGCGGATATCCAAGGGAGAAGAGAGATCCGTAACCGTATCCGTATCCGTGACTTTTTTGGCGGATCTTTCAATACATACTACATAGATGAAATTCTATATAGGTGATTTTGTATTCACTGTAAAACTCTTAGGTATGTGTTTGTAACACTATAAACAGCAACTTTTTTTCTGGCCAACGTCAAAATGAAAAAAAAATGGCCCTCCATTCAAATGACCAATCAAATGTTGTTAGTTTGTATGGAGAAACAATTTTTTTTCTTTCGTTTTCGGTGTTAGTCCAGAAGAAAAGTTGTTGTTTATTATGTTACTAATATGCACTTCAGAGGTTTTCAGTAAATTTAAATTTCACCCTGAATAATGGTTATTAGGTAGCCATGAAAAACTATTGAATAATATACAATAAAAAAAAATAAAAAAAAAAAAAAATTTATCGCACTACACTAAATCAACTAGGCAGGTCGTAGGTATTGAAAGAGCTATCTTTATAATGAGATCAATCAAACATCTTTGTTTTAGCTTATTAAAATAATGAAATATTTAAACATCAACGGCAAAGCGTCAAGTGGCGAAAACTATCAAGGTCACGGGCTCCGATTGAGTAAGAAACTTAAGATCCGTATCCGTATCCGTATCCGCGGATCTTGACACCAAATATCCGTATCCGGATCCGTATCCGCGGATATACTTTGTTAACGATCCGGCACATCACTAGTGTTAACACAAGGTGTCATTCCCAAAATGAGGGCTTGATTCTAAAGAGTGAATTTCAATATTTGATAGATGAGCAATATATGTGAGAAATCTTTGCATGAAATTACCAAGCTAACAATACAATCTCAGAATACTGTTCTGAAGGTCCTGAATGTATATCTAAATCCAGATATTGTACTGGTTGTAGTGTAGTGCTGTCGATGAATACTGAATTCTTATATTCTAAACATATTGGGCACTGACACACACACACAAACACTGTCAACTTTGTCAAAGTCACAGCAGGTTTTATTTTGTGTGATATAATACAGACAAATATAGTAGGCCAAAACCTCCTTTCTAAGGAGAGGCCTATGTCCAGCAGTGGACTATTACAGACTGTTGTTGATGATGTCAATACAGGCAAAAAAATATATTTTATCAAATTTTATTGGGTAACATCTAATCTATCTATAATTATACAATTAAGAACAAATGAATTGACGATATCCTGACCTAGGAAACCAGATTGATAGGGCCCAAGGCAACAAATGATCGTGCTCATTACATAATATCATGTCTTCAGAGTTTGGAATTATTATTTATACCCACAACTTCTGGCTTAGTAGTGAGGATTGCTAGTCACTAAACCGAAAGGCCCGTCACACACATTCTTATGATAAAACAGTAAAACACATTGAACCCAAGGTTTGTAACCAGTTGAGAAGAAAAAAAAAAATGTACGAAACCAGGATTTTTTCCTTTTACGAAACCTACTAGTTATGACGACGTATAGATGCAAGGGAGAAAATATTGTTCCTTGTTACTAGACCTAGGTATACAAGCTCTGGATTCATAAAATACTGACCAGTTATAATTATAGTTATAGTTTATTTGTGTGAATAGGTAATAAAATCTGTCTTATGTTTAGCCCATGAAAGTGGGCCATTACTAAATAATTGCCCCATATTCATTTCAAATATACATAATATTAATGGTTAAGTTTATTGTGGATTTAGAAAAAAAAATATTTTAACTCATGGGTATCAATATCAAACTAGTGGTTTCGATGACGGCCGAATATTTTTTTATCAAAGCTATAAAAAATTAATCGTTTCCTTCAAAGATCATTTTTTACTTCTTAAATGGTTACGAACCATCGGTTTAGATGACGGCCGAAATGATAAATTTAAACATTCCATATTAAAAAAATTAAAATACCCCCTACAGACAGCTTGATTCGGAAATTAGTCATAGCGTATAGTATTCTACTAGTCAAGCCCTTTCATTTGATACCCATATTGAGGGAGTTGTGAAAAAATATGTAATCCGCCATTTTATAGCGACGGCCATCTTGGACCGATTGTCATCACACATAGCTATCCAAGAGAACACTCCCGACTAATTCACCTTTAAAAAAAAAAGAAAATCAAAATCGTTTTATCCGTTCGGGAGCTATGATGCCACAAACAGCCAAAACACCCCGTCGCTTTTGTGTCGGGGGTTAAAAATATGGTATACTAGGCAACACATTTCAGGCAATTCAAAAGTATGTAATTCCTAATACATATAAAATTTAAATATTAGACATATAAAGAGTCTAGTATTTTTAAATTTTATTAAAGAAAGATCTACATTGTTAATTTTCATAAATATACGACAAAATTAATCTTGTGTAATTGACTAGTGCCATCTGAATAACAGACTTGCTAAAAGTTAAAGGATGACGCACTAATTGAGGAGTAAACTGCTGTTGTCATAATACATTATAATATCTCCATTTTGTCGCTGATTACAATTCGACTCCATAATTTTATTGTGCAAATAACTACACTACACACACACACATACACACACAAATAACAAACTTGTTTATGTGTTTTATTAATTCATTATTACAAAATTATCCAAACTGAAATGTAAAAATGTTGAGTCAATAAAAAGACCAACTATTTTGGCATTTACGTAACAACTTACACACATCAAAATGTTTACGTCTCACATTAGATAAGTACATAAAGAAAATGATAAAATGTATTATTTTTCAGAAAATGGTGGCCGTTCTTTGTGGTGATATTCTACGTCCTTTGCCCAATCCCAACACTGATTGCTCGTCGCCACACCGATGGGACGGGTGGTACAAACTCGGCATGTATGGAAGCAGCTATTTTCATCACCATGGGATTTATTGTCAGCTCATTTGCCCTACCCATTGTCCTCGCAAGGGCTGGAACGGTATGTACTTGTGCTTTTCATGTAAGAATTATGTGACCTATTAATTTAATACATTTCAGCACAACATCTTAACACTTGTATAGCAAACAACTAGTAGATACCAAATTATAGATACCAAAACAATTGTGTCTATAATCTCATTTTTAACTCTAAAATGTGTTAGTGCCAGTTTCTCTGAGAGTTTCTCTTCTGGACAGCAAAGGCTACAAAAGCGGTAATCCGTGAAAAATAGAATGGTCAGTATTTTAAATACTCTCAAGTATTTAAAATATCCTGTTGAGTTAGTGTACGAGTGCAGTGTAGTGTATATTTAATTTTCGTAACATTAAACATGTACAAAGAAAATTTTCCCCGCTTAAAAAGCTAGTACGGTTAAGTTGGTACCGATGGCATTTCGAATATTCAGCGTTATTATTTTGCGAACTCGACACCGGTTCCGACGTAAATATCAGGACATATTAATGCCGATAAAGCTGCCTGATCAAACATAAGAACCAAAGTAGCCATACTATTGTTTGTCATACAACTTCTTTACTTCTGTGTCGTTCGTACGTACAAATAGCGTTGCCAATAGTTGACGCCGATCGAAAGTACTCATGATCAACGACGTGAACGCTCTGCTGTGGCTCCGCGTAAAATAACGGCACGTGACGTGCGTAAACAATATACGAATTCAGTCAGTCAGCTTTCCAAATCCGTAATAATGTAGTGCGAAAAGCAATATCCGAATTCAGCCCGAAATTTTTCGAACCGTATTTTCACGGGTTCGGCTCGGATTCAGATCGGACGTAGTGCGAAACCGCTTTACGAGTATATGTATAACAAAATATGTAAGATGTAATCGTTAAGTATATGATGAAATTTGTGAGATTTGTATTAGGAAGTATTAAATCAATTACAACGTAACTTTTTGTTTACTCGCTAATCTGTTCATATAAAATCACTTGCCCTGACTGACTGATTCATCAACGCAGAGCCAAAACCGCTGGTGCTACAAACTTGAAGTTTTGCAGTTGATACTTTTTATGTTGTAACCACTTCAATAAGAAATGATTTTTGGAAATCACAGAAATGAACAGCTTGAAGTTAGCCATCAAGGTTTTAGCGCCAATAATATTGACAACGTAATCAAAACAGGAGTATTTCAGAAGAAGTATTGATATAGTAAAGACATTTCTATCTTCCATTTTAATGGGCCTCATGATTATTTAACATTCCAATAGTAATGAAATATGTTTTTATGTTACAGATTGTGTGGGGTGCATGTCATTTGACGCTGGCGGGTAACGTCATAGTATATCTCACCATTCTAGGCTTTTTCACTATCTTTGATATGGACGACTCCGACTACACAATGTGGTGAGAGATCTAGACGTTGTTATATTTTAAAAGGACGCTATTAGGCAAATAACATATTGTACCGTAAGATCATATTGTGGTTTTGTTTATATTTAAGTCTGATATAGATACTGATAGTGTAACGGAGAGCATTAAGGTTGGAGTTACTCTTATGAGGATAGTCGTCATTGTTAACATTTTATCTTTAACGTAAATAAAGTTATTGAATATTTGTTATTATACTGCCGGTACTTGAAAGTAGCATGTAACTATGCTCATGGCAATATTTAAATGTGATTCGTTTTATTTGTGGAGGTTCATATCTGCAATGTGTTCGTTCAAATTTTGATATGGCGTGTATCCACAAAATAACAGTTTCATACAATATTGTGCAACGGCTTGTCAAGTGTTTTTTAAATACATGATGTTACTTTATGTCTTCAAATAGTATATTCGTTTGACATGCTGTGCAGCAATGTCAGCAATTCTACAATACAATAAAGTTTACCTATGTCGGTGTGCTTATGAGAATTATTTTTAAAGCACTACAGCTCGTCTCTAAAATATTTATGAAAGGACTATGTAATGTGATTTTACTCATATTTTATGAAATGTTTTTGCTTTTTTTTTGTGAGAGACACATTTTGCAGTTATGAAGAATCACATAAGGTTGAGATTTGAGAATTAAAATATAATAGTAATATATTTATACTCTACCTATTAACATGTAACATACGATTTTTATGATACTAAATACATATTTTATTCAAGTATTAAAATTCATTTTATTTGTTATTATTTAAATTTATATAGGATAAATTTGTGTAAGTAATTTTAAAGAATAGTTAAAGGTATTTTTATATCATCTAAACATGTCGAACTAGCATCCAAAAACTTGCTCTTTATCTTAACTTGTTAATTTCTGAGCTTTAAAGCCTTGCGTTTATAATTCGTTTGTTAGTTTGATAAAACTTTTTCAGAAGTAATCAAAACCAATAGATCATTTACTATTTTGTAAAAAAAAAGAGCTGAACTGCTGCTGTATTAAATGTAGGCAATAATTTAGTATATTTGACGTTAATGTATTTAATATGTGAAGTGAATGCAGATGATAATATTTTGTATACAATCTACTAAAATACTTACTTCATGGTGACTGGACATGGAACATTATTATAAATCAAAAGTTGTTCGACTAGTTTCTTTGATATTTTATCACTACTATTTCAAAATTGTTTTTAAAGTATTAAAACACTACATCCTTTACAAAATGTTCATTTTGCAGAAAGCGCATACAGCTAAGGGACAAATCATACAATACTAGTGACAACGCATGACTGAGGATGTCTTGATCGTTAATACGCAGCAAGCTTCTACAAAGCGAGCGTCCTACAAATGTTATTGATATATCTCGGCTGTATGTAATTGTGCAATTTCTGTTCTGTTCAATAATCAGTAACTTGAAATCCTGTATTGCGATTACATTCCTGTAATGTAAATTGTGTAAATATAGCATTAGTATCAGGTCACAATAAATATCAGCTGCTTTATATTTTTGTTGTTTTAATTTATGCATATATCCATCCATAAATGAGCTCCCTGGTAGCGAATATAACTAATGATGTGTATGTTAAGTGTGAGTTAAGTATGAGCATATTCATTAAGGTAGTAAATTCGTATTGTAATGCAAATATTATGTACCTATTTTTTTTATTTGCGGTAATCCGTTTGGACACTACCCACCGGTGGCTATGTCGGACTCTGACGAACCGACTAAAAACCGCACGCCGTCTCGAGTACCAGTAGCCAAGGAACCGGGTGTACCCTAGAAAGGAAATCACTGGTACCCCGACGTACGTCAGGCCATCTAGGAAATATTATGTACCTATAACTAGAAAAAACCCCTTTAGAAGACATTGTAGTCAAGCTAAACACTCACAAAACTTGGTGGGCTTTTATGAGATGGATTTTAAACAATAGTACGAGTTCGATTAAATATATTATTCGTTCGTAACTAAATATATTTTTTTATTGTCGTCTTCATGTAATGGAAAACATTTTCTTAATGATTTTGAATAATCATTGTTCAAGTGAAATACTTTGTGTCAATATATTTTTGACACTCATGAAAAACCTTAAAATAGTCTCTAAAATTAATCTTGATAATTTCGACAAGTTTTGCTATCGAAACAATTGTACTGAAAATTCTGAGTAGGTACGTCCTTTACATCCTACACTTAATGTGAGATAGCTAAACTAAATACCAACATCGACATAGAACGATGCGAGTAATTTTGCTATTATTTGGTAGATTGAAAAAAGTTAAGTGAGCGGTGCTTAACACCCCCTCACCCCGCAAATTATCACGCGTTGTTTCATAGGAAAATCTAATTACAACACCTTTTTGTATTTTCTCCGTGGTGGTTACCTACCTACCCTCAAAAAGATATATTTATACACCACGACACAAGAGTCAGTATATCATCTTGATATCACAATGGGGTGAACGTAATCGCTTAACTTTTGCACCCAACAAAACCTTCCAGCTACTTTTAAAAGGTAACCTAAAATCACCGCCAAACATTAGATTTGACAATGTTACTGTAAAAAATAAAACCTCAGTGTGTTACCTAGGATTAGTTTTAGAAAGAAACTTTTCATTTATCGAACATATTAACATAGTTAATGAAAAGTCTAAAAAGAGTTTCTGTGCATTGACAAGGATATCAACTGCGACATGGGGTCTATCATTTAATACATTAAAGATCATATTCGGAGCTACTTATTTAGGTTATATGTGCTATGGACACGTGACCATTTATTTTTTTTACCAGAGAGTTACATCTGCGGATTATGTTTAAAAAAAAAAAAATTGTGTTATACAAGTTTTTTATTATAGATAGAAGATAGATTAACACAATATAATCAAAGTATTGAACACAAAATAGTTAAGTAGGCACGACGATAAGCCCCAGTAATGACGTGACTTCTAAGTCTTATTTTTGTATTTGTCGGCTGAACAAATTTGTTTCAAAATATCGGGCCTTGTTTTTAAATAAGTGTGGAACTCAGTACATGATTTATTTATATTTATCTTCGTAATCAAAATAGCTTTCATTACTGCGACACTTAACTGAGTTTTATCACTTGTCCATATTTTGTTCATTTGAGAAAAAACTCTTTCGACAGGTGCGTTACTTCCAGGCAGACACATAATGTACTCAATAATTGTGGAAAAGTTCGTTATATGAAGATTGTTGGTACGAAAGTGCTGGAATAATTCGACCCAACGGTTTTCAGTAGAAACATTCTCGGCATTCCAGCCAGAGATTTTTTCATCAGTTGCAAAGTTTGAAATAAGTGAAAACTCGTCAAAGACTTTTGTATCTTGGCTGCCGCTAATAAATCCTTGCATGATCAGTAAATCCAGCAATTTCTTTACCTCTTCCCACGTAAGTACTTTTGTTAAATTTGCCCATTCAAACATTGACACCACTGCTCCAAGTATTCTTTGCTTGTTTTATAAAACTCAGCCACCGCTGTTTTTACATTCTGCTCAACAGCAGCTTCTCTTTCTTGTAATTTTACAAGTAAGTTACGGACGATGTGGGAAAGGAAAACCGTATTCTCTTTTAGTGCCAGGTTATCTCGGAGACGATTAATTTCTTTGGCTGACTCTATGGCCGAAACATTTTGCCCTTCGATTTTCAACACAGCTTCATGAAAGGTCGCTGCTTGTGCGTGCAATAAATATAAATATAATTCTGAGCTGGGATTTTCGAAAAACGTTTTTAAAATATTTGGGCATTTGTCGATACTCAGAAAATAGTTTTTTAAAGGCTGAAACATTTTTATAACTCTCTCAAGCGCGGGCATTAACGCAAGCTATCTTGTTTTACTGTAGCCCAGCAGTTTCTGATACTCTGTCTCGGTAGAATCACAAAACTCTTTCAAAGCTTCTACACGAACGCTGTAGATGTAGAAAAATTAATAAATTTTCACTATGATGCATTCGAAGTCAAGAGGAAGACAATCAGCGGCAGTTTTGATCGCGTTGTGGACTATGTGGGCTCCACATCCAATTCCAATAAGCTGTTTGCCGAGTGATTCAATTTTGAGTAAACATTATTGCTTCCTTTCCTATTCTTTCCCCCGAAGTTGCAGTTCGTGTTGTCTCCACAAAACGCAACAATTTTTTTATTCAAGTCATTGAAAGACAATACTTCCTTCAAATAATTAACAATAATATCCGATGTTTCACCTGGCTGTTCCCGAAACTCTAAAACCTTGACTTTCACGCCTTCGCATAGTAAAAAATAGCGAATCAACACTGGAAATAATTTGACTGAGCCATGGTTTGAAGCATCTGTTAGTAAAGTTATACAGTGGGCTTTGCGTAAATGCTCTTTTAAATCGTCGGTGGCCATAGTTGACACCACATTTACAACAATAGCTTGAGACTTTGTACGTGCACATCTAAATTTTTGCTCAAAACATGCTTGAATTAAAGGAGAAGAACAGTCATTTGAGCGAAAACTGTGATTATGTTGCACGGTGTGAAACGCCCACGTACCCTCAGCTGCAGCTATATCCAAATCCTTGGAAGTCGGCAAATCGGTTCTTTTAAAAAAACTAAGCATTGACGAGTTTCAAGCAGTGGCTTGATCGGCAAGCCTGTGTTTTTCTGACTTTAAATGTTTTTCTATATCACTAGCACCACCATGTCCAACACTAAAATCAGTACGACACTTTTCACACGTTACATCTGCAGTATCATCTTTTCTTTGTTTTATAAATGGATACTTCTGTTGCAAACTAATATTAAAGGAACACTTGCGTTTAGGCATTATTCTTTGGTTACAAATCACTGCGTTGCGTTACACGTGTATATCACGTTTCGTCCGACTTGAACTAAAATAAAACATTGCAGTCGTTGACTGAACATCGAGTAAGCGCGGGCGCGGGAGGGGTTATCTTATTATCTATCCTACTCACACGCGTTAGCGCGGCACCGCGCGTCGGGCGGCGCGCTCTCTCGTAATCTGCTGCCTTCCCATGCCGACGCCGTATCACGCATTTCGAGCGAGATAAATATATTTTAAATTATTGTTTGGTCTGTTTGCAAAAGCGGGACAATGTCGGCCCCGCTGGGGACACCGGAACAGACTGCCTGAAAGCGGGACTGTCCCGCCCAAAGCGGGACGTATGGTCACGTTAGCTATGGTGCACCTGTATGGGCCGATAGGGCGACCGTGGGCGCTGTCCGTCGCAAACTGTTACAAGGCCAACGACTTGCACTGATATTCTTGTGCAAGGCATATAGGACGATTAGCACTGAGGCTTTGCCGGTGTTGGCGGGTGTGCTTCCGGTCGATCTTGAGGTGCAGAGACGTGCAGCCATGTACTATTCAAGACAACAAAACATGGAATGCAATTTTTTGGGCGCGCGGTATCGCGGTAAAATTACAAGATTGCTTCAACAGCAGTCCGATGTCTATAATGACCTTATAGACGAATGGCAACAACGCTGGGATGAATCATCCAAGGGGCGCCATCTTTACCTATTCTTTCCATCTGTTCGCGAACGGATGTCGAGGACATGGCTTGAGGTGGATCACTGTGTCGCTCAATTTCTTACGGGCCATGGTAACTTTAAGAGCAAGCTTTATTCATTTAAATTAGTCGAGTAACCGTTGTGTCAATGCTCAACACGTAACTCTCACTATGACCAGTCTGCTCATCATATATATCACCCAATTAAAAAGAGTCAGTATCTCAACACTGATAAACAAGTTATTGCAGATGTAGTGAATTATTATTAGGCAAAAATATGTGGTAGTAGGTAGTATAATAATAGGTGTTATAGAATTCATCCCTACAATAAGCGACGCTGGCATGGGACAACTATGCATGTCACCACCCAACAAAGGATGAGATGTTTTTTTTACGACGACTATGATACTCAATGTAAAATTCGCGAGAGCACCGATCAACCATTATTAATTCATTGTATTACCTATGTCCAAGTTTATTAAAAAATACTTATAACTGAAGAATATCTGTACATTCCTATATTTCAATAATTGGCGATTTGTTGAAAATAAAATTAAAAAAACTAGTCCTAGTGTTTTCACATTTTGACATGGTCACCCAAAATAGCGAATTCATCAGGAACTGCAAAAAGTAATTTATTTTTCAGATTTAAAATATATACAACTTTGATCTGTACATATTTATTTATTTAGTAGATATTTATACTAAATGTTAGTGTCTCTGGTTTTTGTTTCTGTTGTGATCTCAGGTAGTCCATTATTTATTATGCAGACGTCAGGATTGAGGAGCTGAATGAAATGCGTTTATTTACTAAAACTGAGTGGCAGTTTTACTACTTTCTACTGAGGTTACAAATTCAAACTACTACTAAATGTTTTTGGAGTGGAATATAAATTTTGACCTGAATAAATTTTGACGACCGAATGGCGTAGTATAACGGACTGCTATTCCAAAGGTCGCGGGTTCGATTCCCGCTCAAGTCAAACATTTGTGTGCATGAACATTTAATGTTTGATTTGGTCTGGGTGTTTCTATTTATAATAAGTATGTATTTACAAAAAAAAAAGGATATATGTATTTATATCAGTTGTCTAGTACCCATAGTACAAGCTCTGCTTAGTTTGGGACTAGATGGCGTTGTGTGAACGTGGTACAATATTAAAAAAAAAAAAAAAAAAAACCTATTACTTACATGGCAATTCAGACGTTTGGATTGAGGAGCCACTTTTACATTGATATAACTGAATATATCTTACTACAAATTTCAGGATTTGTCCTACAAAATTATTTGCTCAGCTACTAAACAATTGGTGAGTTACCGTTTAAAATCTGAAGTGGCTCGATTATCTTGATCAAGCAGTGGCTTTTAAGCAATACTGCTCCCTTAAATACTAAGACAGGTCTCTTCCCGAAGAGACAATAGACTCGGTAGCATTGTAATTTACAAAATTATACAATTTAATTAATTTTATTTGTGTACAATCTTACTGATGTTGAACGGAACGTAAATTAATCATCTTCCGCTAATTTGACATTTCCATACGTCAAAATTTGTAGTTAACAGAGATTGTACCGCACCCATTACAGTTCAGTTTTTCCTCTATACTTTAGTTATTTGTGATAACATTAACATATAAAAAAAGTAAAATCATGGGTGATCATTTACCTGCTTGTGTTATCGATGTCGGAACTGGCTACACTAAACTGGGCTTCGCCGGCAACAAGGAACCACAGTTTATCATTCCGTCAGCCATAGCGATAAAAGAAACTGCAAAAGTTGGTGATCAATCTACACGTCGTATGACTAAGGCCGTAGAGGATCTTGACTTCTTCATTGGCGATGAAGCGTTCGACGCCACCGGTTATTCTGTAAAATATCCCGTTCGCCACGGTCTCGTCGAGGATTGGGATTTAATGGAACGGTATATAGAACAATGTATCTTCAAATACTTAAGAGCGGAACCGGAAGATCATCATTTTCTACTTACTGAACCACCACTGAACACTCCAGAGAATAGGGAATATTTAGCTGAGATTATGTTTGAGTCATTCAATGTACCAGGTCTCTACATAGCTGTGCAAGCCGTACTGGCGCTCGCAGCCTCTTGGAAATCGCGATCAACTGCCGAACGTACTTTTACCGGTATTGTAGTTGACAGTGGAGATGGTGTAACCCACATTGTACCTGTTGCTGAAGGATATGTCATTGGATCTTGCATAAAGCACATACCAATTGCAGGTAGAAATATTACCTCATTTATTCAGTCTTTACTGAGAGAAAGAGAAGTTGGTATTCCTCCAGAACAGAGTCTGGAAACAGCGAAAGCAATAAAAGAAAGATACAGCTACATTTGCCCAGATATAGCCAAAGAGTTTGCTAAGTATGATGCAGACCCTGCTAAATGGATGAAAAAATACACAGGGATTAATGCTATCACTAAGAACCCATTCTCAGTTGATGTTGGTTATGAGAGGTTCTTGGGACCTGAAATATTTTTCCATCCTGAGTTCTCTAATGCTGATTTCACTGTGCCTCTCAATGAAATGGTAGATGAAGTCATACAATCTTGTCCTATTGATGTTCGGAGAGGGTTATATGGAAACATTGTATTATCTGGTGGTTCAACTATGTTCCGTGACTTTGGGAGGAGACTCCAACGTGATATCAAGAGAACTGTAGATGCAAGACTGAAGCTCTCTACTACTTTATCTGAGGGCCGCATCATTCCTAAACCCGTAGATGTTCAAGTGATTTCACATAATATGCAACGGTATGCAGTTTGGTTTGGGGGCAGTATGTTGGGCTCCACACCAGAATTCTACCAAGTTTGCCACACTAAGCAAGCATATATGGAGTATGGTCCAAGCATTTGCAGACACAACCCTGTGTTCGGCACTATGACATAGTCACAATACTCAAGTTCTTTGCCAGTATTCAGTCAATAGTGTCTTGACTATTTTTAAGAAATAACACCAGATATTTAAGCAATTATGAATTTATAATTTTAAGATTTATTTCACTTAAATAGACTTACTAAGTATGAATAATATTTTATTACTATAATAAAAAAGAAACCACATTTGTAATTAATGAGATTGGTTTTTAGGCAATATTTTATTCCAATGGTTTAAGAAATATGTTACTTTTTCAGCTGGACTTTGTTTTCTATAGCATTTAATATTGCATTCCAGCATTTTACCAAATATAGAGTCTTGATAAAATAGTTTTTGTTTTATTTTAATAAAATAAAATTTTAAATGAAACTAGCTTTACTTAATACTAGCTGACCCGCGCAACTTCGTCTGCGTCTCTCAATAGTAATAAATATTCTCCGTTTTTTGAAACATTCTTCATTGGTGCTCCGCTCCTATTAGTCTTAGCGTGATGATATATAGCCTATAGCCTTCCTCGATAAATGGGCTATCTAACACTGAAAGAATTTTTCAAATCGGACCAGTAGTTCCTGAGATTAGCGCGTTCAAACAAACAAACAAACAAACTCTTCAGCTTTATAATATTAGTATAGATTTATAGGCATTGGTGCAACATCTGACCTGCAAAGGAACTAAAGTCTCCTTGATGATTACTTTGGCTCTATCTGCCTACACTTGCCTTATACTTATTAATCAACTGACAAAATAGTGCATTGAGGGAGCTTTACATTAATAATATTAACAATAATCCTAGTTATTGTCAAAGGTAATCAAAGTTGGTCAGTAAATGATATGGTAACTAGGATCCTTAAAAAAAGTGTATACAAACTGAACTGCAGACACATTGACAGAACATAATGAACAGTGCGGTTGCTCAAGTCGCCATTGGGGAGAAGCCCCAAATCCATATTAAATAAACAAAGAAAATATTTAGTTATTTAGTTAATCATCATAGAAACTCTGGGCAAGTAGCTAAGTACAATAACCAGCGTCACTTAATTTAAATCAAGCCCAAAAAACTTAGTTTTAAAAGATAATTAATGTTTTAATAATATAGCTATAAAAAATATTACTAACTCATGTAACTAATAATGAAACAGAAACATCATTTGAGTTATTTGAGATGTAAAAAGTGAAGAATGTAAAAATACTATCTTCTCTACCTTCCCTAATAAAAGATTAGGCTTAGCGGGCGTTGCAATAACCAAATAGCCAAGACCTGCAAGCAAGCCCAACTGCAACTGATTAGATCGTTAAAGTTAGAGCTGATTAGAATTAAAAGTTTATAGGTGTAATGACAGATGGCGCTATTTGAAATTGCGTCTGGAATGAGATTATATTTTTATATATCATTATTTATATCTTTAGCTACCCAGAACCTTAATATTTTAGTCATCAGAACAGACAACTTAGAAAATTAAACGTAATTAGTTTGTTACTTGTGTAGTTTACTTGCTTTTTATTATTATTTTATTTTTATCTTCATTAGGGCGCAAAATACCTTCATATTAAAAAAATAAACTGGTTGGCGGGATAATTCGGGTATTAGTTTAAAAACAAAATTTGGACAAAACGGTTCGTGACAACAAAAATCGTACAGGTGCGAAAATTTGCGAGTGTAAAAATAGGTGCTTCGGAAAAACCGCGCGCGATCGGTAAGAAAGCATCCTACGACCAAGGGCGGATCCAGCTTTGGTGCCAGGGGAGGGGGTCATATAGTCGTGGTCAAGTCACAAGAAGTTATAATTTAATTTTTATAATCATACGTAAAAGTAGAAAGTAGGTATTTTATTAATGTATTGAAACGCTCAGAAGGATGGGGTTCTTGATGTAAATACAAACTTTGAAATAGTATTTTATTTGACTTTTCAAAACACTCTCGCTGCACAGCTGTACCCGACGGGTTCACAATTCCAAAAAAATGGCGGGTTCACAATTCAAAAAAATGGCGGGCCGAGACAGTGTTGCAACATTCGGAAACCAATCGATTCATGAGTCGACTTAAAATTATGATTATGAATAACTTGGGTTTTTAGGAATATTACTATTAGATTAAATTAGTGTTTAAAGTGAATAATATTATTAATTAGTGATGAGTAAAAATATGGTAAGCGATAAAATTAATGACTGTTACAGTCGGCCATCCGTCACATAAACGAGTCCCTTCGTTTAGAGTTCTAATCAACAACATTAAAACTGATCATCTAACTTTTAACCTTGTTTATTATTTTTTTATCTGATTTTTAATTTAAGAGAAAAATAAGTATAATCTTACTACAACTCTACTGTTATGCTTAGATATAGCTAGACAAAAGGGGGTTACTTCACGTCTTTCACCATCAATTTGCCTTAGCTGCGTGTTATATCATATCACTCATGCGTGGTTAGATTCCGCTTGAACTCTGTGCTATGACCCTCAAGGACATATCACTCATGTCCAGCTCGCATCCAACCAAGCTCTGTGCTATGAAACACCCTCACTGAGCACATAATCATTCATCGAATCTGCCAAATCTGCCAAAGCTCTCAAATAGGGTAAGTAGTTATCCTTTTCAAAATGCACTCATGCTCGGTTTGATTTAACTAACCGAAGCTCTGTGCAGGGTGTAATATTCAGCTCGTGTTCCTAGGTAGCAAGTATCTCATGTACCTAAATAAGTATCATCAATATCCTAATTCCCAGTCGCCACCAAATGGTTTACTCAAATTAATTAAATTCTCCTATTAAGATAATCGATTTGATTAAATACCTGTTTATAATTACCTATAAAATAATGTCATACAAGTAGATCATTAGTACTAAAGTTACATATTTGTGAGGTACCCGCATAACATAACAACAAGAAAATTAGTCGTAGTTTTATGCATTAAAGAAATAACACATCCTTTGTAACAAGATATTATTGATTTTAAACGATATGTGTTTAAGGAAATATTGTTAAGTATAAATTAAGCTAACCATTTTTGGGTATAATGTGACAAAGTCTGTATTATTCATTAACAATCAATAAATCTTAAAAGTAATCATCTATTATAATAACTAGATACTTTCGTCACTAGAAGAATATGTCGGTGCATCAAAGCTCATCCAGGGATAGATTTTATCAATCGCTTTTAGGTGGTACAGTGCTGGTCAAAATTGAGGTAGAGCTTTGAAACCGCCTATCTCTACTTGGCCCCTCTCTCCTAATACCATCATTGTACTCCCTAGGGTGGGACTTAACTGTCTTAAGGAACTCTAAAGTTACCTCGGGTCTATCAAATTTTCCTGCTTGAGCGCTTAACCGAATTCCTTTGTCTTCAATACCAAATATTAAGCAGTCTACTGCCTGCTTACCAAATATTTTACAGCGATTTAATAAGTTAATCTTAGAAAAATAGTACAATTCTAAGGAGTCACCAGGGCGCGCTTTTCTATTAAGCATTTCGGTAAGCAATTCAGCATAGTTCTCGGTAGACGGAAAGGATTCTCTTAATAAAGTCTTCCACTCTTCCCACGAATGCCTAATAGATGGCAAGCCCTGGTACCAGGTCTTAGCATGTCCTACTAGTTTGGGCAGGGCATAGTGAACCGTTTGCCGGTCATTCCAATTATAAAATTCCGCGCATTCGTCTACTTTACTTATCCACATGTCAATAGTCTGTTCCCGAGAAAGCGGGTCAAAATCCGAAAGAACATTATGTAGTACAGGAAACGATTCACGATCCCTACCCTTAAAAATGTTGACAAATTCTTCAAAGAAATTAGCTGGTTCCATGACCCTTGGCCGTTGGGATTCTTGGTTACAAATGTCGTTTCCGAGAGGGCTGCGATTCTTTCTAGACGGGGAGTCACGCCGTCGATGGTTATCAGTGACATCGTGTGAAATCACGTTGCGGCTACGTTGTCTCATTAGCTCTTGCTCTAACAGACGTAGCCTCTCGCGCAACTCATCATTCTCGTCGTTCCTTTTACGACTATGACTACGGCTATGGCGGCTACTCCTAGGTCTACTGCGACTGCGACTGCGTTGTTGATATCCACCACATATTTCCCGTCTACGACTCGGTCTATTCTCAAGTAAATTCAGGTTCTGATATAATAGCTCACGGTTACTGTGGTGGCTGCGTTGGATGCTCCGGATGCGGTGACGGCTCCGGCTTCGGCTTTGATCCTGGCTCCGACGTTCGTGTCTCACGCGGCTCCGACTTCGTCGCATACCACCGCTGTTCCCTGCATCACGTTCGACTTCCATTGTTGGTAGTATGAGGCTTCCAGGTGGTACGGGTGTTCGAAGTCTACGACTTCGACACCGTTTATCATCAGGGCTACCGCGGTCCATTATCTGAAACTCGAACGAACTTCTTGTATTTCTTGTGTTTTGAGACTTATTCAAAATTAAAAATGGAGCAAGAGATTTTCTGAGGTTAAATTATTTTCAATCGATTTTCATCACACCAATGTCTTAAGTTTCCTGTTGTTGTGCGTAGGTAACGTATTTTACTGCCCGTTCTAATATCAAATACGGGTATATTTTTCCAAGACTAAGTGTTGAAATTAGGAATATTAAAATTAATTCAATCCAATCGCATCTCAGGTCTTAGCCTCTATTTTCCGTTCAGTTATAATCGAAATGGAATATAAATAGGTTTGGGGCTATTTAGTAACCGTATCTCAATTTATTCCCGATATATAAAAAAAAAAAAAAATACCAACCTATGTAAGTATGATTTAATCAAAACGCATATGCATTGCACAATAATAAACAGTAGACAAGAATACAAAATTTTTAAGCATAGGTACTATTTGATTTTCCTTCATACTTTACAACCCAACGTATTGTAGTACATCCTGTATCGCTGTCTCTTTTACTCTCACACTGTTTACCAATACAGAACAATAAAGCGGAGCATTAATAGTACGTCGCACAGCGAACGAACGTAGACATTAGTAGACAGAGTAAACAATAGATAGTTTTAGTACTGAGCTTGAA